TGTTTCTAAAGTCAAAAGTTTACCATTTTTCATGTTACATGTTGATTCAGCTTAAGCCGGTACTAGGGGGAATGGACGGTAGCTTGCACTTTCCAGCACTGTCATGAACAGGGGGTCAATCTTGTTTGTTTGTTTCATTTTACGCCTTTTCCCAACAGTATTCCAGTCATATAGGCGGGTAGTTTCCTAACCATCGTTCCTGGAGAGTTACACCAGTACTAGACTACCTTCCTCCGCCCTAAATTACCAAAGCATCTCCCGGGGATCGAACCCATGCCAGAGAGGTAACTGGTTTAGAAGTCATCGACTCTAACCCCTCGACCACGAAGGCGGTACAGGGTCAATCATATCAAGCTTAAAATAAATTCGATTATGACGTTTCGGGTGTTTCTTTGCGATTATTTTCTTTGATTTATTGATCAGAATTTCAATAAAAGTCTTCCTCAATTAGAATACTTTATCATTCATTGTCATAACAAAACAAAATACAAAACAAAATAAAATTATAATTAATTGAAATCTTAAGCTTTTAAATTTGATATAAAGCTTAGTTCACATCGGTAATTTGATGTGACGAAAATGTCCTTTCTGACTTACAAACTTAGTGAATAAGCATTTGAAATACGTTAGACTTTAATCCCACTTGCCACCATTTGTATTTATTTTATTAAAAATGGAAAACTGCCAGCTTGAATGTTTTATTTCAAACGTAGAAATATATAGAACATTTTGTTAATATTTCTGTAGGGCAATAAAAAAACTGGAAACAAAGTGACCTCTCGGAAGCATTAATCACAACGAAATAACAAGAGAATTGCAGACTCGGTTTGATTGAGTCCGTACATGAGGGATAATGAATATGTGCAACATCTCTGACGCTCTCTAGCACCAGTATGAGCGGTACTCAATTCTCAACACTTAATAGTGTTGGTATCAATGATGTCATGTTTGGTTTTACGGCGCACAAACACAATTTAGGCCATATGGCGCCGAAGCAAGACATATGATTTTGACTTATCTCGTGTTTCTTCAAGCGACACCAGGGTTTACAACCACTTCACTTGCTGGAGCTAAGAGACGCAAAGTCCAATAATTCGAACCAATTTAGTCGCCTCTTACGACCACGCAGGGTCGTATGTTGCTGGGTCATATGGGGGTTGCGTTCATTGAACGCCGCCTTTCCTTGTTGATCTTGTTTATCATATTTTAAATAGTGACACTGATGCCTCAAGCATTAAAAAGCAACCTTTCAGCCGCCAAATGTCACTCTAAATGTGAAATGGACACAGAACATATTTCTGTCGTTATTGAAATTTAAGCAGTTTTATTAACAATGCATTATACAGATATGTCACGTTTACAGATAAATCTATATCAAAGCTAATTTGAATAAGGCAACTATTGACATAGTCTTCAACGTAATCTCATGTTCCATGTCAGTACAATTTATTTCTTAACCTTAAGTACAAGTTTCAATTCACACGGACGTGATGTTAAGGCGAAGCATTAATTGTTCAAGGGGCGTCCAAGGCCGATTGGATAAAGGTCGTTGACTTCAAACCACTTGACTCCTCACCGCTGTAGGTTTGGTATAGAACCAGGGTCTTTGGATTCTTCTATGTGGGAACCTATCCAGCTACCGGACGGAACGTCGGTGGTTCTTATCAAGTGCCCGCTCGTGGCTGAAATAATGAGCGGATGGAAACCCCAGGTCTTCGTCCATCAATAAACCTGGCATGCTGTGTTTGTGCAACGTAAAAACTGAGCGAAAAGGGAAAAAAAGAATATTTATAAAAAGACACATTATTATCGCTATAAGTGGTTTATATCAATTTAAATGTCCATTGTAACTTACAAAAATTAGGAAAAACGGAATTCTGAAAAAGCGCCGAAGAAAGCGAGATCTAAATTATATAACAGCCTACTCAGCGTGGTTGAGCTGTTCAATTTGACGGCTGTAGTTAAAGTACTAGATACAAAATTAGCCGCTCAATCATTATAATTTAATATTTAAATATAGATGACTGTTAACTTATCCAAATTGAGATTTTGAAGGCTTTTTTGCCGTAAAATATTGATTGGAGAAAATACTTTTTAACAAGATTTGTCTGTCTGTGTTCTTTTTGCATAAAGAACTTATTTCTATTTATGGCAAGAAAGCATTATTTTTGTTACTTTCAGGGTCCGTTTATGTGTGATATACAGGCTTCATAACCATCGGGCCCCCTTTCAAATTTACATTCATTTAGTTTATTTCATAGTTTTCCCTTTAAGGACATAAGTATTATCTTATTTCGGGACCATTTGCATCATTTTCTTTACGAAACCTTCAAAGCGACACGTCCATGAATAGACTCCATCAAACCGAACATTTTTTCCCTTTTTGGGCATTTTTAAAAATATCTTTTAAGGATAGTGTGGCGGTCATATTCCTTGAACGTTTTCGTCTTGATTTGATCTTAACCGTCACATTTCTTTTATAGAAACTAAACTGTCTGAGTTAAATCATTATTTACAATACGTGCAAGCAAGTATATAAGAATCTTACACCGGCTGTCTGTACAAACCGGAATATTTAGCTCGAGGGTAAGTGTTGACGACGGTAACGAGGCTCTGTCGAGTTTCCGCTTAACAATTACCCGATAGCTAAATAATCCCGTCTGTACCGACAGCCAGTGTTTGATTTTTTTTCTTGCGACAGCCAGTGTTTGATTCTTTTTCTTGCATATTAAATGTCATTTATTCTCGGAACAGAAGTTAAGAAAACTGATATTTTATTACGTTATTTTTTCTTTAAGTAGCGTATTAACTTACAAACTTCATTCATAACGGTATAATGCCGGTATAATGCCGTCATCCTTAAAACGAAATTCATTCTGAAAAGGCGCGCGGATCAAAGATGTCATTTAAAGCACGCAACTTGTCATACATGTGGGGTGTAAGGAAAGGTTTTCTAGCACCGCCGAAACGGTAGATAATCATGTCTGATATGCAAAAAATAAAGTTTTAACACATGTAAAAATGTAATTTCCAAGAAAGTGTTTAAGATTAAAATGATACAAAATGACATACAAAATATATGTAAAATTTCTGGTATCCACTGAGTATAAGCAACATAATTGTACAGACTTAATGCCAATGATGTAATGCATTGTAATAATCCTCAACAGGTTTGCTTCTCTCTAAATTACATAAAAATGCAAATGTGTGTAATATATTCATAATTCTATAAACTATTCTACATAATTGACATGAAAAATATTAAAATATTCACATGTAATTACGCCCCGAGGTATACAAATATGTTCATGAAATTACGCCCTGTGGAATAAAATTTGCATACAGTTTCCTAACTTTATTAATACAATATGATATGCAAATGAGCAATTCGTTTAATATTTAAAATGAACTCGTATCATTAGCAAACCATGCAATATTGATATCTTACAATTCTTTATGCTGGAATGCATTCGTTTGTTTGTATGTGTTTGTGTGTGTGTGTATGTGTTTTTGTTTTGTTTTTTGTTGTTGTTTTTTGTGTGTGTTTCTTAAATATCTGGAAAAAGTGATCCCTCCTCGGACGCATAAAAATTAGCAAAATTACATGAAGATTGCAGGCTTGGTTTGATGAACAGGCTCAATCAAACCAAGCCTACAACATTTTCAATGTTGTCGTTTTATGCGTTCTTTAGGGATTTTGTTTTTCTCTATTTCATTGGTTTGATTCTGTACCTGTTCTGTACTATTCACCTATCGTGCAGATATCTAACGAAGTATTAAGTGTTGCTGGGTGGTGTGGGTGTTGCGTTTATTGAATGCCGCCCTTCCTTGTTGATCTAGTTTTTCATTTTTTAAAATCAATTTACTTTAAAAGTACTTTTGTAAAAGTTTTTAGTTTTAAAAAATGCAAAACTTCCAGAATATCGTCCTAAATATGTCATAATATGCAATTAGTTTAATTTGGATGTGAATACTATTGATAGTTTTGTCATTTAAAAAATCATGGCAATACTTCTATGTTGAAAGGGGTATAATAAAAATATTTATCACATTCCCGTGCTGCTTTTGCGACTCCGTAAAAATTGGTATTGCACGACCGTGCATATATTTTGACGCACGACGTCATTTGCGTTATACAAACAGTGCAATGCTCGCTAAATATTAGCATTACACTATTGGCACGTCAAGGAAAAAGAGGTTCATTTTTACAGTACACAGTTTTTACTTTGAATGTGTGATAAATAGAGTAAAACATAATATTCGTGAAGCTTGATTGATAAATTTATTACATTTATTGAACTCCTTGAACAAAAACACGATGCATATCCATATCGGTACCCTCTTTGCGAAATTTGCTGAAACGGTACCCTCTTTGAACAAGCACAGGTCATTCTCTGCTAAAAACAAACCAGCGGTGGATAACAATCCAGTAAAATTTCATTGTAATAAGGAAAGGAAATATTTAATATGTTCATATACATATCATCTTCGGACAAATGGCAGTATATTGTCAAACATAAATGAAAAATTCATAAAAACACCCTACTTTCGTTTTTGCAGCGGCACGGGCTACCTCTCTTCATTTGAATTTTTATATCACAGGTACCCTCTCATTTTTTAACACATAGGTACCTTCAAAGCACGACATATGCTTTTATTTGCGTTATTTGTTAAGTGTGTATGTAATATTTCTTACTTTTATGTAAATAGTACATATTTAGCGATTAACGCAAATAAAAGCATATATAGTGCTTTGAAGGTACCTATGTGTTAAAAAATGAGAGGGTACCTGTGATATAAAAATTCAAATGAAGAGAGGTAGCCCGTGCCGCTGCAAAACCGAAAGTAGGGTGTTTTTATGAATTTTTCTTTTATTTTTGACAACATACTGCCATTTGTCCGAAGATACTTTGTATCAAAGGTGCCCGTCGCGTGACCTGGACCCCCACCCCCAACCCACACTACAACCCCCCATATTTTCAAAAATAAAAAATGATCATCTGAAACCTGTAAAACACTATCCAATATGCATATTATAATCAAATTAATAGTTTCCAACAAAAATATAAAATTCTATTGTTAATTTATTACAAGGTATTCATCTCTCAGGCATTCTCAATGGGAAAAAACTAATGTCATTGCTTGTAACGTCAATTTCTCATACAATCATCGGTCAATTTCCAAAATTTTGGTGGCAGGTTACGTGGAACGAATTTCTCTGCCTCGAAAATCATTCGTTTTCCACGAGGTTTATTTTATACCTGCAATATGACGCCACAAATTTGACATTTGTGTTGGTCGGAAGATTCCTGGCCGGAAACTCCGCTGTCTATACACAGGCCTAAAACATGTAATATTCGCCGTTCAGCACCAAAGTTGCACAAGATTCATAAGAAATACATTAAATCAATACACTTACATGTAAAAATGATAGCCTTTCAGACAACAGTTAAGAGACACAACGATTTTCCTCTCCACCGTGTAAATCACAACATCTATGCAGCCATATTTCGAAGGGAATGCGCACGCAACATATTTGTAAACGCGTCTCCGATTGGTCACTTCTGGGGGCTCGCCTCTGGTGCCCGGCTTCCAACAGTGAAGTACCTGAAAGTCAGAAACCAAAACAGCGCCGTATGTCAAATGTGTAATCTTCATTCGCATGTTTTCGTACACAGTTCTTTAATAAAGGAAAAAGATGGCATTAAATAGTGAGCAATTAGCGGCAGTTGATTGTATTTCAAGTGGACACAATCTTTTATTATTGGGAGCCGCAGGAACGGGTAAAACATTTCTAATAAAACACATTTGTAAAACATTAAAGTCTCAAAACAAAGTGGTCGCAGTTACGGCCACCACTGGAATCGCATGCTGTCTGTATGACTCAGCACAAACAATACACAGGTGGTCGGGCATTGGGGACGGAAGGTTTCATTGTAAAGAAATAAGACAAGTTATCAAGAACAATGTCAAATTTGCAGACGTGAGAAAAAAAATAAAAAACACAGATGTTCTTATTATAGATGAGTGTTCGATGTTGAGTAAGAACTTTTTTGAATGCCTTAATGAAGTTTGTAAACTGAAGGACGAGAATCAACATTTTGGTGGCATCCAGCTACTGCTGTCTGGTGATTTTAGACAGTTGCCACCAGTACCAAATCCATTATATGGTGAGCAGGGGGAATTTTGCTTTGAAAGCAATTTGTTTTCGAAAGTGCTGCCACATAGAATAACCCTCACAACAGTATTAAGGCAATCTGACACTGAACTTATACATGCTATACATGAAGTTTCAATCGGAAATGTATCAGCGGAAACTGCATTGTTTATTGAAAGTTTACAGAGACCTTTAGAAAAAGATGACAATTGCATTAAACTGTTTTCAAGAAATGAGCAAGTTGATGATTACAATAGGCAGTGTATAGTGGATTTTCCCGGTGAGTTATATGAATAAAAATCAACTGATGAAGGGGATCGCAAATTCTTAAACAAAATACTTGCACCGCAAACTCTTTGGCTTAAGAAAGGGGCACCTGTCATGTTGCTACGTAATCTTTCTGACAAGTTAGTGAATGGTCTACGGGGAACAGTCGTTGATATCACTGAAAGTGGTCCAGTTGTGGAATTCCCATCATTGAATATGAAAATGCCAATGGAGAAAATCACATTTTCAGGTAAACAACTCAATTTTCCTATTTGTTGTTGAACTCCTGAATTTATAAGTGTTTTAAAGGCTAAAAATGGTATGAAAATGGATATCTTAAAGTATTTAATTGCAAATAAGTTTAATTCTGTGAAGTGCTGCAATTTGTTTCACAATATATTGACTGAATTAAAACTAATTATGCTTTTATCATTTCAGTTTTCAGTCCTCCCATGAATACTGATGTTGCTGTTAGAGTTCAGTATCCAATCAAGCTCAGTTTTGCCATGAGTATACACAAATCACAGGGGCCTAACACTTGACTGTTAATTTCTTTTTGACTATTAATGGGTTCTATCTTTTACATTGAAAGTGAAGTTCAATGAACCTATACACAGTGATAAAATCAAAAAATCATTAGATTTCAAGTCATTTGTTGCTTTCCTTTAGTATGTTTTCCAGCTGCTACTTTTTAATGAACAGATATAATATCAACAAAACTACAATTTGCAAATGTAATTGGACAATGTTTTGTCTTGGCACAAAAACACATTCATGGTTATCTTTCAAACCACACTGGCCATAGCTTTCGCAGAAGCGGTGGGTCTACCGGTGCGGCGATGGAGATTTCGTCGCAGAAGCGGTGGAAAAACATGGCTGTCGGATAGTTTTTTGCTGGTGTCGGTAAGTTTATGACTTATTTGTACGTTATGTTTTTATGTTCTACTGATAACACCTAGTGAGACTGGAGCCCACATATGTACTCTTCCAGCTTATTACACGCATGGAGTGCAAATCATGACCAGTTATGCAAACACTTCTGTACAGTTTGACGAGGGGACGCCAATTTTGCCTAATTTTGTTTATAACACTACATATGTACTCAAAACTACCCCTAGATACACTGGCATCGCATCGTATGTATGATAATTACACAAAACAACCATATTTTGGAACTTTTGGAAATTGATATTACCATTTTGATAAAAGAATTGACAAAAAATGATTACAACGCAGACGGCGGTGGATTCGATTGCAACGCAGTGCGGTGGGCCCGATATCATTTAGGTCTTTTTTTTAACGTTAAAGTCACTGACACTTAGGAGTTGAGCTCCAAACACCAAAAAGTACAAATGAAATATATATTTGTTAATCCTAACACATATAGTTGTTATCAATGAAGTAAATATACGCTTTTTTGCATCATGTACCTTTAATAAATATGTTTTTATAAAACAATCCCTGTTTTTGATACTAGTTTAACATATTGGGGTGTATGTTAACTCGCACACCCGTGCCGATTTTGCGACTCCATAAATATGGTATGGCACGGCCGTGCATATATTTTGACGTGACGTCATTAGCGTTATGCTAACATAGTGTAAAGACGCGCTAAATGTTAGCGTTATACTATAGGCGCGTCAATGAAAAATGACTCTTATTTCACTTTTAACGGTCTCTATTTTGGGTATGTGATAAATAGAGGATATTGAATAAGTGTAAGTTCATTACTGAATTTATTGCACTCGCCAGAGGCTCGCATAATATAATTTTATTCAACTTGTGCATAAATTCAGTATTGAACTTACACTTATTCAATATCCTCTATGTATGGGTTGTTTAAAAATTAATTATAATGTAAACATTAATTTTTAAATTATCTTGTTTTTTTTCTATTTTCAATCTATGCATCATGCACCTTATCAATATGTTTTTATAAACAATCCATGTTTTAGATTCTAGTTTTAACATATTGGGGTGTATGTTAACTATGAAGTGCTTAAATGGTAATTTTATTTTATAAATTGAATTAAAAAATACTTAAAGTTTGTATTTTCTTTATAAACTATGCATTCATTTAACTTATAAAATGTCTTGATAAATTAAATCCCAGTTTGGACACAAGTTCAACATATTGAAGTGTATGTTAACTATGTATCGCTGAAATGTTAATTATATAGCATTAACTCGTATATTGAATTTAATATATAGCATTAACTCGTATATTGAATTTAATCTATCAATTTAACAAATCAAAATGTTTTTGTAGTTTAACACACAAGAGTCATCATTAACTACGTATTACTAACACATTGGTCATAAATATATTTTGAACTTCATTTTTACTTATGAACAGTTTGTGATAAAATTTTAATACATTGATAAGATGAGATGAGATGAGATGAGATGAGATCTGTTGATAGTGACACTAACTTTAGCTTTATTGCTTTATCTATTTTTTTATTTTATTTATTTCATTTTTTTAATATAACTTTACATGTTAACATTAAATTATATCAAATTTTTATTTAACGTGAAAAAAGCTATAAATAGCTTGCATGTAATATAAAAAAGTATAGAATGCATTTTGAAATAAAATATAACAAAATACCTGACAAAAAAAGGTAGACCAAAATGTTGTGTATTGGCCTATGAGCGAATTGCACATGCACGCGTTCAAATTATCGTTTGTTTGTAAATTGTTAAGTCAGAATTTAAATTGTCGCTCTTTCGTTTTCGTTGCTTTCACGGTCTGTCGTTCCTCCTTTGGTTGGACAGTTTGGTGGTTTTTGTTGTCCAACTTTGTGTCATCTATTGTTATAACGTTTGCTACAATTGTTTTCTATATGAAAGCGTATTTGAAGTTTCTGATTAATATTTTGATTATATCATAATCTATTCTTAGACAATAAAGATGTCTGGCTCTGCCAGACATTAACAATTAAATTTCTATGTTTGTATTTTAACTCTACTGAGGATGACACAAATTAACAAGGAGAAACATGTACCGTGGTAAAAGTAAAACATAAATTCATTTCCAAACTTTTCATGAAAATAAACATGAATATTGAGGCGTGCTGCTTTAAAATCCTAATAGTTATATATTTATTAATTCCAGCCCATATACTTATCATATATTTCAATAAATCTTACATATATGCCGTTTTGAAGAAAAAGTAAATATTTATACGTCAAAAATATACACAAGATAAAAAAAATGTGTTAGAAAAAAATCGCACATCCTTCAAATCACCTTGCAATTGATTCTATTTCCAATATTTTCGCATTATCCTTTTGTCAACAGGTCATCTATTAAACATATATTACTGGTACTTATTATATATTTTCATCATATTTTTCTTTTTCAACAATATAAACGCTTCATCTTCAATATACAAACACACTATATATGTGAAAAATTTTTAACTATCGCCGGTTTATTTATTTACAAAATATTTCAACAAATTCAAGCGTGGCACTCAGCTCTGTCGTATTTAAATGAGGTTAGCTATGAATATGAGAACCCACATTATCCCGATTGACTCCGATTATAGCAAGGCTGGTTCAAACCGCATTTATATACAGCATATCTGAGAGTAATTTTGTTTTCAAAAAAGCGTATATTTACTTTCATTGATATATATAACAACTATATGTGTAAGGATTAACAAATATATATTTCATTTGTATTTTTAGGTGTTTGGAGCTCAAATCCTAAGTGTCGGTCACTTTAACGTTAAAAAAAAGACATAAATGATATCGGGCCCACCGCACTGCGTTGCGATTGAATCCACCGCCGTCTGCGTTGTAATCATTTTTTGTCAATTCTTTTATTAAAATGGTAATATCAATTTCCAAAAGTTCCAAAATATGGTTGCTTTGTGTAATTATCATACATACGATGCGATGCCAGTGTATCTAGGGGTAGTTTTGAGTACATATGTAGTGTTATAAACAAAATTAGGCAAAATTGGCGTCCCCTCGTCAAACTGTACAGAAGTGTTTGCATAACTGGTCATGATTTGCAGTCCATGCGTGTAATTAGTTGGAAGAGTACATATGTGGGCTCCAGTCTCACTAGGTGTTATCAGTAGAACATAAAAACATAACGTACAAATAAGTCATAAACTTACCGACACCAGCAAAAAACTATCCGACAGCCATGTTTTTCCACCACTTCTGCGACGAAATCTCCATCGCCGCACCGGTAGACCCACCGCTTCTGCGAAAGCTATGGCCAGTGTGCAAACCAGATTAAAGAGAATTCCAAAATAAGGAATTAAATAGATGAAATATTTAAGTCTGAATTCAGAAGGCAGTGTGTTAAGAAAATTATTGTGGCATTTTGTTTCAATATTGCAAATTGTAGATTAAATCTTTTAATTTATCACAGTCTGGAAGTTGATTGTCGTCACATATTTAAGCCAGGACAACTTGGCGTTGCACTTGGAAGAGCGCGAGAAACCAGGGGCTTAAGAGTTATCCACTTCAACCCTCAACTAAGTGTAATTCAACAACCACAAGTTGTAAGACAGTTCCTGAGTGAGTCCTCTATGGAACCAGTGGAAGACATTAGTTGTTGCAGATCAAATATAAATAGGTAAAAACAAAATTTATAAATTACCTGTAAGTTATGACTGTGGCACATAAACTGTGTTCATCTGCTTTTCATCTGATTTTATATACTTCAGAACAGTTTTCACTTTCTGCTTTTTTCTGGGTGCTTCCGAGGGATGTCCTTTTCAGATTTTCAAATCTGACACAAATGTTGAATAGTTCAAGAACAAATTCTGACATGTGGAATTTTCACTGTTTTAAAAGTTCTGTACACTTTACATTCTAATTACTTTTATTTTACTGTATGCACTGTTATCTTCTGATTTTCTTTTTGTTGTTTTGTATTGTTTCAAAGAAAAGTCATATGGAAGAGCAGCAGCACGATTTTTACCGGCATTTGCTTTCTGGGACACTACTTTTTGTCCAAGAACAATACTGTTTAAGGCCCTTCGATACTGTAGTGCATTTGGATTTGCGTTTGCCCCGTGGTATGTTGATCTTTGCTGGTTAAAGGTGTTTTCAACAACATCTGAATTTATTAGAGCAGGAGTTATGTAAACTGTAGATTTGTTTTTTAGAAACATTTTACACAGTTGAATAAAACCTACTATGCATGACTGAATGTCTTCATGGCATTGTAGTGACAATATTCGTTTGCCCCTGTCCTTTGTTTTAACTGAAGCCTTATTTAGAGCACTAGTTTTCCAGTTTGCAAACCACTGGGCTACAAGGGAAAGTTCCTCCAATCTTGGGTCATCCGCAGTTTTTACAGGGCGCATATCCTTAAATATGTTTATCATTTTTGAGGTCATTTTAAGAATTTTTCAATCACGCCATTCAAAACACATCCCTTTTCTCCAAGATATTTCTGATATTGCATCATTAAATTCAGCATTTCTGAATCAAGGACATCTTCTGCTAGATGGTTCCTCATTTTTTGTTGGTTAGATAGATACAGGTGCTCATTAGTTAATTTTCTATGAAGTTGCAGAGCATTAGTTGTGTCCCATTTATAGCAGTCAATGAACATTTGCCATTGTATTGTATGTGAAGTTTCTAAAGTAAGGAGTCTAGTTGAAGATTTTGATGTTCCACTTTAATGATATTGTTTCGTATTTTTTTTATAACATGTTTAGAGTCCATCATAAAAATCATGTTGGCAAAGTTACAAGGGCACTGAAATAGTGTATGTAGTACTGGCGCCGATATTAATGCTGCTATAAATGTCCTGCTTTGCGACTGTGCCCCATCCATAAAGTACTAAACTATGTTGAAACCAAACTCTTCAGGCAGTCCACAGTCTTCCCTAGAACAAAGAAGATCAAGCCCATATGTTGGATTACGCATCTGAGATGAAATGGATAATAGGAAATCTAAAATCCTGTGACTCCAAGAAGACCAGCTGGCAATTGCATGTGTAGCCCTGCACTATCTCCATTTTTTCCTTTCCTTTTTCATTAATGTTAACTTCATATTTCCCTCCTCCCCAACATCCATGAAACCAGTTAATTCAACTATGTCCCCATTCTTACATATTTGGATGTCTGACTGAATGGACATTTCATCAATTATTAGCCCTCCTGTATATCCTTCAATTGGAATGTCTTTTCTCTTAGCTTCTTCATACATCCATGAGAACACACTGTCATCAAAACCTACTTCGTGCTTCACACGACTCTTATACTGAATCAGTGTTGATCGGGATGGGAGGACAAGATACTGTGTTGCTCGAAATGCTTCGTATGAGTGGGGACTCCTACAGAACCACTGTAAACAAACTGAGATCATTCCTTGAGTCCATCTTCTACCCCGTGGATCTCTGCTAGCATTTTGAGCCTGGCTTAGTACAAGTTCCACCATCTCGTCGGTTGCTCCAGGGATCATTTTCTTTATATCATCCTTTGAAACGGCTGATCCTGATACTTTATTATGAATATTGTTATTTATGTGAGATTTAACATCAGACTTACTGGAAATAGGGGTATTGTTTTCTTTCTCAGAACCATCTTTTGGTGTTGTACAATTAAAAATCATTTTTTGGCATTTAACACATGTGCTGCCCATTGAATTCATGGGAACTACTCTGTTGCATACTACTGATCTTAATCGTTTACCTTGTATGTCTTCAGATTGCCATGTATCTAGAATGTGATATCTAGTCATAATCACATTTTTTGAAAGTTCTACACCTACACACAAGGTTATTTTACGTGCAGCATTTACAACAAGGTCAATTCCATTTTGGTCTCCAGAAAATGTACTGGAGATATATAATTTTTGTAGGTCAATAGATACCCCGCTTACTTCTAAAGCCCACTCTCCATTGTCAAAAAATGTTATTACTTTCACTATTCTGTTCCCATTACTAGTGCAGTGGCTGTCTATGGTACACTTAATACTTTTCTCATGCTCATCAGTCACTGTAACATCATTCGCAAGGAATCCCTTTATTTCCTTAATAGTGATAGATTTCACAGGCATAAAAACTTTCTAGGGTAGAAGAGTGATTCCATGGTAGGTTGTAACTTTGATATTAGTGTTCCCAGTTTTTCTTTCCTTTCTAGCATTTGGAAATACCTTTAAAATATGACCAAGAAACACCATTTTTGGTACCTTTAAGTCAACACCACTTTCTACCATTTCAAATTCAAAGGATGTGTACAACTTGTTCACTTCCACAAAGCCATTAGGCTCTTCCTTTACTCTTGAGAGCAACCTGAAAATAATCATACTTTTTAATTTCTGCTAAATGCATGAAGGTTTCTTCAATATAGAGTTCCTAAATTTTGTTTAAATCATCCTAAAGAAATTACTGAGATTCTGAAATAATCAACAAAATTATTATATCACACAATACTAATAAACATTTCATTTCTAGTTTGTATATAAAGGAATGAAAAGTTTAAGATGTAACAGTTAATCATGAATATTATTTCTTATAATCACTCAAAAGAATAAAATTGGAATATTGTGTCCAGCAGAGTATTTATTTAAGTACATGTATTTGATTTACATAAAGTTACTTGCAATTAAAAGTATTGATAAAGACTACAAATCACATTTTCTATACAACTGCATTATCTAATGGTACCTCTAAATCGTATCTAAACAGCTGCTATTCAGTAGTCAAGAAGCCAGTCTATTTTATATTTTATCAATTGACCCCTCCTGTGAATACCCCTCATTTTATTTCAATTGTATCATATAAGTTTAATTCAGTAGTGATTTTCTATTACATAGACTGGCTCAAGTCTAACTGTGTTGTTAAAAGAAAGAGTTTAGTCAGTAAAAATATGCAAAGGAAATACAGTCAAACCTATACGAAAGACCACCTCTGAATAAAAACCACCACTAATAAACCTGTCTTGAAAGGCCACTATTTTCTCTTCCAATTTGACAAAAAATAGTGTTAATAAACATGTGTAAGATACACTTCCTTAACACTTTTTTAATTTCCCAATAATTTTAATAAAAGTAATAGTAGCATTTTTATCATTTTGCTTTTATGAAATTCATTGCCACCTCATGACACAGTTTTATTACATGCAATTCTTTGGTCAATTTCAGAGAGCAACAGTTGACAGACACAGACCTCGCACTATTTACTGTAGAGGATTTAATGGCCTTAGATTCTATGCAGGCTGACACGGAGTTATATGATCAGCAACCAACCATAGGAATTTGACAGTGAATTTGATGAAATTATTTCATTAATTACAGAATTACATAATGAGTCAGTCAATCTTCCTACTGATTTAAATATGGAAACAATTCTGAATAATATTGAATGTAGAACTGTGAAAACACCAATGCAGTACAATAGTAACAAGATACTGAAAGAGATAGACCAACATAAATACATCCAGTTCTGCAAGAATGAATATTGTAAATTGTCATCTTTCATTGAAGATTTAAAGATTAACCCGGCAGATCCTGTGTCAGCAAAAAATCTCTCTGAATTTTACAGCAAAGTACATAATTACCAAATCAGTGCTGAATTCAGAATGAACTGTTTAATGCTTTTTGAAAACACAAGCATTGGTGAAGATCATCTGCATATCTGTTTCAATATTTCAAATGAAATAAGAAAGTATTTGTTGAAGAAGAAGGCTGAACTATTTACTGTCATTCAGAGAACTATATCAAGGAGAGCAGTGTCAAATGCATCACATGCACGTGTACGCTATGTAGGTGGTTACTATATTGCAAAAATAAGACATAAATATATACAGAAGAAAAGAAGCCATATGTATAAGACAGATGCATCTGGTCAAGCATTGTTTGAAGAATCTGTGCTAGCTGTCAGTATTCTAGATGGGTTAAAGCTAGATGAACATCATGTTATATCCACCACCAATGAGCCAGAATCTTTACTAGATGTTAGTAGAAGACAAAAAGGTAATAGATCACTTATCAACATTTCGGATGAACTCTTCCACTTTTTCAAAAAGCTAACAGAAATATGTTTGTCTCTATTAATTGATGAAAATTTTAATAAGTATGGTGGCAATTTGTTTGAACATATCAGAACTGAAATAATGGAAAAAAGTGATTTATATAATCAGTTTTGTGAGGTTGTAGACATCAGTATAAATAGAAATGAAGAGTTTGATTCAGAGACAGTTAATAAAGAGCTCAGAAACAAACAAATAAGTAATGTGTATAAGAAAATTATAAAATTGTTCTTAATGGTAATGGTCAATCAATTCAGGAAGGATATCTTGGAAAGTTTCAATATCCAAAAAAAGATGGCTCACAGGAAGCAAATCAGAGTGTCACAGACAGATAAAACAAAATCTGACAAAGGTAAGGAGAGTAAAAAAAAAGTGCTTTAATTGAAAATGTAAGTGAGGATCTTGAACAAGCTGGGCATGTTTATAAAAGTAAAGGAAAGGGACGTAAACGAAAGACTGTAAGTGTTGAAAGAGAAGGAGAAGAAGAAAAGGCCACACGAGGAAAAAGATTAAGACGAAAGATTGTTAGAATGGACAGTAGTTCAGATGAAGAACTTACAGAAATTGCACAGACGACTGCAGCTCACACAAAACAAAGAAAGGACAAAGATATTTCAAAATCTCCTGAGGCAGAATTTATTAACGAGGACATTGCACAGCCAAGTACATCAGGTATAAATGTAAGACCTGCACAAAGGAGTCGAAGAAACAGTACTGATAGCTCCACAGATGAAGATAAAATGAAAAAAAGAGAGGAAGTGACAGAGCTAAAAGTCACCGAAGAAACAGGTGAAGTAGGTAGTGAAAATATTGATGAAAGTGAAGATATTGATGAAAGTGAAGAAAAGTGTAAAGTTTGTGATACAGTCAATAAAGAGTTTAAAGGTGAATTCCTATGGATACAATGTGATGGCTGCAATGGCTGGCTTCATCGAGCATGTGCTGGACTTCAGCACCATATGAAGTGGAAAAAGGCAACTCGAAAGGGAGCCAAGTTTTATTGTTGTGACTGCAAATAATCAATTATTTAAAACAGTACTTGAAAACTTTAGAGCTAGCCAATATCAATTAATATTTGTAAATTTTTTATACCAATAGAATAGATAAATACAGAATCCCTAAAGAAAGCCCAACACGGCAAAATTGAAAATGTTGCAGGCCCGGTCTGATTGAGCCTGTTCATGGACGGTACTGGAAAGTGCAAGCCACCGTCCACGCCCCCTAGCACCGGCTTAAGCAGAATTCAACATTTAAACATGAAATGGTAAAAATTTGAATTTAGAAACATCCGCAGATGTGTTCATACGGCGGTTATCATGGAACCTTCAATGTGACACTTCCGTGCCATTCCATGAAAAGCGGCGTATGGTCCCCAAGTAATAAAAAGCGTGTGCCCTAAACGAGAAAACAATGGGCGAAACTAAATAAAATGGAATTTTGAAAGGGGATCAGAGGTTATGAAGCCTGCGTATCACCAAGATCACTTTAACTTTACCATTGAACTTACCAGGTTACAATCGACATTCTTGTGCTTGTGATAAAACTAGACCGATGAATATAAAAACAGTGCTTTATTTGTGTAAATACGGAAAACACGCAACTTTAAAAATTCCGCCAACAATCAGCTGTTTACTGGTTTCCTCTTATTTGATAGTTACCGAATTCTTATTGTTGGAAGCCGGGCACCAGAGGCGAGCCACCAGAAGTGACCAATCGGAGACGCGTTTACAAATATGATGCGTGCGCATTCTCTTCGAAATATGGCTGCATAGATGTTGTGATTTACACGGTGGAGAGGAAAATCGTTGTGTCTCTGAACTGTGGTCTGAAAGGCTATCATTTTTACATGTAAGTGTATTGATTTAATGTATTTTTTATGAATCTAGTGCAACTTTGGTGCAGAACGGCGAATATTACGTATTTTAGGCCTGTGTATAGACAGCGGAGTTTCCGGCCAGGAATCTTCCGACCAACACAAATGTCAAATTTGAGGCGTCATATTGCAGGTATAAAATAAACCTCGTGGAAAACGAATGATTTTCGAGGCAGAGACATTCGTTCCACGTAACCTGCCACCAAAATTTTGGAAATTGACCGATGATTGTATGAGAAATTGACGTTACAAGCAATGACATTAGTTTTTCCCCATTGAGAATGCCTGAGAGATGAATACCTTGTAATAAATTAACAATAGAATTTTATATTTTTGTTGGAAACTATTAATTTGATTATAATATGCATATTAGATAGTGTTTTACAGGTTTCAGATGATCATTTTTTATTTTTGAAAATATGGGGGGTTGTAGTGTGGGGTGGGGGTCCAGGTCACGCGACGGGCACCTTTGCTTTGTATATGAACATATTAAATATGTATCATGCATATATAATCAAGCCATTCATTTCAGCCCGAAAAATATGTCGAGGTGATGGGCGAGGCAAGTTATGTCGATTTTTTGTAGTTTATTGTGAAGTAGCAGTACATGAAAATCGGGCACATGACAAATCAGCACATAAATAAAACATTCTAGTGTTCCGTGGTATAATCTTTTCTACGTGTCATACCTCCTTTCCTTATTATAATGACATTTTACTGGATTGTTATCCACCGCTGGCTTGTTTTTAGCAGAGAATGACCTGTGCATGTTCAAAGAGGGTACCGTTTCAGCAGATTTCGCAAAGAGGGTACCGATATAGATATGCACCGTGAAAAAGATATTATGCCCGTCAAAGGCTCGCAAAATATAATTCATTCAACTCGTTCAGTACACTCATCTAATTTCCTCTATAAATACAACTTTTAGAATCTCACAATTGCGACACTGCGTTTAAGAAAAAAAATCCGATTCCATATTGAAGTCATTGATCAAGAATTAAAGCGTAAATTAAATATGTTGCTTTTTGTATAGTAACCAAATATATCATAACAAGTCGGCTGGCATTTGTTTCATATTTGAAATAATATAATTACTTATACTACAAATTGCTCTTTTTAGAACATAATATGTCGCGATCACGCTGTTTTTGTTTTAAGGAATATGGTAATTTTTGTCTAAAAAAAACAAACAAAACAACTGTCCAATTTTGTTTAAATCAATGTATCTTTAAATGAAGCTCAAGAGAATATAAAATATAACAAAATGTCGATAGAAAACTGTTTCGATTCATCAAATGTCAAACATTGCGTTAAGGTATTTCCATTGACCCAGAATGTGCCAAATGGCACACGTCCAAGATATATTCTTTTTCCATGAATGATCTTCTGCTAGCAATTACAAGACATTACAATTTATTTCGAGTCATTTGTCTTGAACATTTTTTGTAACATATTGAACAAAGGAAAGATTAATCATACCTCATAAATCGAGAACGGTTACCAGATACATACTTTAAGACTATACTATGCTCTTAGATGAGTAAAATAATTTAAGTGCATATATTTATAGAAATTAAGGAAATTTTCACTGAATATGCCAAATTCAAAAAAGAGAATGCACATGTTTGGGCACTGCATTGCCTATTGCTGATAAAATAAATGAGGTATGTACATAAAGAACTGGCATTCTTTTTTCATGACACTATGTATTGATTACTTATAGTGTGTATAGTTAAAAATGTAAATTAAATATTTTTTTGTTCTCAAAAGGTCTTAATTATACATTCTAAAAGACAAGTACAACATGAAGATTAAGCAAGTACAACATGAATATATTAAACAAGTACCAACAGGCCTCAAAAATTGAACGCATTTCAGGAAAATTACTACTTGTCCTACTTATTAATATGAAATGTTGAGCACACAGAATAAAGTATTTGCAATTGAAATGTCCCAGAAGATGTTAATGAAGAGAACAGAGACATATCAATCATCAAATTTTGAACCCATTTAGGATACAATCTACAAAGTACGTTCCCTTAACAACATAATTAATATACTACCGCTACTGAAGTAAGTAAAATATCCAGAAGAACATCTTATAAAAAAGTCCTCTAGTTTCCATAGCATAAAAGGCAGGTCGTTTTGAAGAAATGGCATGATGTGACATCGGAGGTCTGTCTCTGTAGAAATTGATCAAGACCGTGAAGCCGAGAACGTTTCTTTTACGGAAAAATCAAGATGTCATAATATTTCTAAAAAATTAAACTAGTATTCTAAGATTTAATTCACTTGTACCAACTTATTTTAGACCTACTTATCATAGTGTTCGGCACGGTATGACCAGTCATGTGTCGGTGTCACCGTTAAACTAAAACAAACAAACAAACACACAAATACAAATAGTACAGTCTCTGGGGACCGTTTGTGTGCAAAAAAGGTCCATGGATAAATGTTATATCATTGTAAAGCTAAATATTTGAAGTTTACAAAAATTTTGGGTAGACATGTCAAATCATGGTACGTTTTGAGAAATCCAAGATGGCCGCCAATATGGCCGCCAATGTATTGAAAAATGGCTCATACGCATTTTATTTGCTAAAATTAGTTATTTTTTGTATTTACTTTAGTGTAGGTGATGTAAAAACTTTACATCCTATTGGAACAATATGAAAATGGGGCATATAAATCCTGTATATATTTGTTACTATGAACAAAAAATAGGTCACACAAAAACATACTTTTCCACCAATGCCTCAAAATTCTTTATAAATTTTCTTACGACCTACAGGTCAGACCATCTGATGCCTTGTTTTGCGGTCTGTCTGTCTTAAATCATCATCAACAAACTCCGGACTGTTCATCCCTTGTCTTAAAACTCTTATTACCAAAACAACTCAATTTAAACATATAACTCAATTTAAACATAACTAAAATGCGTATGAGCCATTTATAACTTTTATCCATGGACCTTTTTCGCACACAAACGGTCCCAAGGGACTGTACTAAAAATAAGTATCTTAGTACTACTGTAATGAAAACTCGGGTGATAGGCACATTGCCACACATAATGACATAGCAAATCACTTTTTATCTGGCATCCTGTTAAATTGTCCTGGAACAAGTCACATTATAACATTAAAGTGATAAAGTATCAAAATATGCAGTCTTTGTGACAATTGTTATGGTTAAATGTTTATGCCTGGTGCTTACACCCGAGGTTGGCCAATTTAATCTTTCCTATTTCGGCGCCATTTGACCTAATAATTTTGTTGGTTGTACAAGTATGTTGTTTGATTTCCAAGTTAAAATCAATAAAATCAATCTGAAAACAATAATTAGTTTGTGAAAAACTTGGGCTATTTAATTTAGGTTTAGTACTTTTGTTATGGTCATTGGGTTTACTTTTATATGTTTCTACATGATCATTTTAGTGTTTTACTTATTTAACCTTTTGTAACCATGACAACTGTTAGAATTTCACTTGGCGGGGATTCATTTTATTTACACTGTCTCGTTTATAGGAACATGGTGGGGCTAAGAGCGAGGTTTGGTGCACCATTAACCGGTTTAAACTCCCCAGCAGTCATTATTATGCTGCTGACCGTTCCAAGGCGGCGCCCCACTGTGTTCCTCAGATGTATGTCTATGTTGTTTCATACTGTTTTGGTGACACTTTTGCTTGTGTCCCTTGTTGTTTTCTCGTCTACGGTAAGTATCTTCCCCATTGCCTCTAGTTTTTATTTCTTTGATTACCCCCCCCCCCTTCCCCCGGTCTCCTGTCCCCTTCCCCTTTGTGGGCCTATTGTTGTTTTCTTTGAATTCCTAATCAGTTACAAATTATTTATCATTTAATGATTAACCTGTCCGTGCTCTGTCTTTGCCCTGTCCTGTTTTTGTTTGGGGTCCGCCTGGGCTCCTTGCCATGGTTCTTGTTGCTGGGTCATATGGGGGTTGCGTTCATTGAACGCCGCCTTTCCTTGTTGATCTTGTTTATCATATTTTAGCTTGAACATTTACATTTCTACGGAGAGTTACGAATATTGCGAATGTTGGTTTCAACATCGAATCCGCCTTTGGACAAAATAACTACCCTTCTCTTCTTCGCAAGGGAGTCATTTACTAAAACATTATTAGAAAAATTCTCATCAATACGTATTATAGTAATTGTTAAATCGTATGTGAAGATAACGGTAAAAGATAATTTGTATAAAATTTGGTCCAGATATTATAAATCAAGAAGGCTATTTATGGTGTTTTGTACTGCATAATTGCGTACGCCGTAACCTTTAACTCGTTTAGAACGATTTGCTGCAAACTCGCTGAAGCATTTTTGATTGACAGTTTTACTTGATAACCATAAAGTTAGCTTCAATAATATCGATTCGAGAAGCAATTTTTCATTCCATATTCACAGTGATATACAAACTCAGGAGAAATATGTTATAGATCTTTGAAAATACTTTTTAAATGTGTTCTCTCGATATATACAGATTAATAAAAAAATGGAGGACGGCCCTTGTTGTTCTGCTTTAAAAAAATGAGAATAAAGATTAACAAAGCAACATTCGGAACACTGCCCAGTCACACCAGCAGAGCATCTAGATGACACACTTAAAAACATTATATAACCAATATAACTAATAATGATATTCACGTGGAAATGACATTTCCTTTATTAGAAAGACATACAGTTGACTCTCAATAAGTCAAAATCGCTTTACTCAAAATTCCGCGTTAGTCGAAAAATTTCTAAAGTCCCGTCAAATTTCCTTCTTTATCTTTGTATTTTAACTCCGCTTAGGTCAAATTTTGACTTACCGAGACTCCTGTTTAGTCGAAAAGAAAATTTGGTCCCGTCAATTAAAGTCCAACATATTTTCATATCAATTAGTCGAAGTGTGAAAACAGCCGACTGATCAAAGGTCGGCGACATCAAGGTAAGATGTTGTCACTCGTGATTCACACGTTTCATAGTTATTTTAATTGCCGGTCATTATGTATTATTAGCACGTCGTAAAAGTGGCTTTAATCGGTTTAAGGGCTTAATTGGTTTTAACAGTTAGATAACTAAATTAAGATTTAATTAATTTGATTGTAATTAAGCACTATTAAAGAAGTCCGTGTCTAATCGAAAGTATCATTTACCAAAATGTCACAAATTAATGCTGTCACTCCTTCGGGAGAAAAACGAGGTACAAAAAGAAAACTTGATTCAAAAAGTCTTGAGGTAAGCTTAACTTTTAACACTAGAGCTGTGTACATTTCATATTTTTTAATAAATAAGACAATGAAAGAATGCCTCTTAGAATAAGATTCATCGCAAATACAAATTTATAAAGGGCTTTCTTTCATATAAATAGCCATAAAATAAATGCTAACACAGGAAAAGTACGCATTATTTCTGTCTTAATTGCTTTATCATAATTTTTAGGTTGAAACTTAATATCGAATTTTCTTTTTATTTCAGAGCAAGTATGATACCATGTATCTGAGAACAATTAATATAGCGATGAAGGAGTTTGCAAGAAGTAAATAAAGAGATTATCTTCATACTTATGTACAAATCTATTATTCAGCAGCCACAATAGTCAATTTTAACACAGTTTTTTAAACTACAATGCAAAAACAAATTGAATAATTTAGAAAAACGATTCGTTGGTTGATATTTTAGTGCAAGCAAACTGTTTGTAATTGGATATAATAGCGTCTAATATATCCATCAAAACGTTAAACGAATTATTTAAGTCCTAAGCGGCAATGTAAATTTTGATTATCTCAATTTTCCTCCGAAATGGTATTTAATGGGTTATGAATCTTAATTAAACAATTGTTTGGATTTTTGAATATCTGACGTATGCAATGTCTTTTAATCTAGTGAAAAGAAGGAAAAATCAATTTCCTATTCTATAATACAGTAACACAACATCTTAAAATTTGATCTTTGATATATTTTTGTATACTTTTTTTCATTTTGTCATTTTGGCTTTAGGTTGCTCACAAGTTAATGTGCAAAAGTTCATCAATTATCTCGGAAAAATATTTCCAGCCCCTGACATGTCAAAAGACCACAATGAAGTGATTGTAAAGGCATTCAAGATATTGCCTTTTTATCATGATAACAATTCAAGTATAACACAATTTCTATTTTATAAGTTTATTTTAACCATGAAATGAAAGTAAATAAATAAACGTTTGAAATGTTTAATTCATAACGTTTTGAACCGGACAACATCACACATACAAAATAGACTGATCTGGTAGCCTTACTTCGGGGTGGAGGGTTTGCCTTTACGGGTTCACGTATTAAGCAGCCACCGTTTAACCCTGCGTGATCGTAAGAGGCGACTAAATGTGCCCGAATAACTGGAGTCTAAGCATCTGTTAGCTCCAGGAGGTGAGGTTGTTTTGACCCCTGGTGATGCTTTAATTTTGTAGCACCCGAGGTGGCCAAATCATATTTCCTGTTTCGGCGCCATATAACCTAAACTGTGTTGGTTCGCCGCAAAACCAAACCAATAAAAAACTGAGAAAAATAACGCCGAAAGAAGGCAAAATTGAACATGCTGCAGGCTCGGTTTGATTGCGCTAGCTCAAGGACGGTACTGGAAAGTGCAAGTTACCGTCTACACCCTACCGGCATATGCAGAATTCAACATTTAACACTTAAAACCTAAGTTTTAATAATTAACCGACTCATGCAAAGCATGTTTCTCTGTTTAAACAATCAAGTATTGATAGTATTTCAGAGATGAAATGTTCGTGCAAATTAAACATTTATTTTTGTTTGCTTTGAAAGCTTTTAACATCGATCAAACAACGATGTAGGAAGTTTATCAATTTCCAATATCTAGTTCTTTACCCAACCATTATCCCGATTGTTTTTCCCTTAATTGCTCTTTACTGTTTCAATATCGAAAGGGATTGCATTGAAGCTATCTTGGACGGGACGGCATACGTTGCTTAAACATTCCGATATCTGAGAGAAGTTCTTTGTGTCTGAGACATATCGCTCAAAACAAATTTAATACACAAGCTTTCATGGTCGGTAAGACACTCTATCCTTTAACAAATTCAGTCAACAAATTATTAATAAATAAGACAATAAAACTGGTTAAACATATCTGCTGCACAAGTTTTTCGACATAAAATCATACATTTTTAAAAAAATATTTTGAAATCAAGGTATCTTCTCTTTGTCGAACTTTTTTATAATATAAAGAATATTTTTAATATGATAATATATAAGTAGGTTTATTTTCTTTATTAAATAAAGCGTTTTAATTTAGCGGGTTATTAATGCATGACCGTATCAACACTCGTCTAAGCGTGTATAAAACAGGTTTAGAAGTTTACACCGTTATCTCTGTCACGTGAATTCCGTGCGTAGAATCCTACAGCTTTAGTAAATCACTTCTAGCTTAAATTTCAACGTGGTAACATCGTTCATTAAAACCCACAGCCGATGTTTATATAGCAGCTGATATGGTTTAAAATGCCGAATTCCGTCATCTAACATTCAGATAAGTATTTTATTTGCCATAATTGTTTTTTTTTTTAACAGTTAAAGATTGTATTCTACGATTTTAAGTTCTACCTCTCATGTACATTGTATTTCATAGTAAGTGAGTTTGCTACCTTTGTTCTCTACCTTGCCTTAATTAAATAAATCAGTTAGCTTTAGTATTATACAATATAAAAGTGCATGCTTTTTTAGTTTCCGACTGTTTAATACATTTGAATATTCTTTTACTTTTTGAAAACCCAATTTTCTAGTTATCTAGACACATCAGCACGAACACGTGCCATCAGCACGAACACGTGCTTGGTTTCTCCTAAACAGATAGTGATTCAACATTGACGATTTATACTGTTTATCTATATATCTGGTTTATATTTCAATATGTTACGAATTTCAATTACTGCAGTATCTGCCCTATCTGAAGCAGAATTCTGTTGTTATTCATTGAATGAATTTAGTTGGGATTTTTTCACCGCATAATATAAATTTTAATGATTTTGCGTACATTTTATTTCTATTACCAATTCTTGTGTGGTGTCAATTATCATCCACTTATTCAGTAGGTGGTTAATATAAGATAAAACGAACAGTAATGGTTATATACAACTTTCGTGAAAAAACCCTTATCGAACACAGACAACTGAATTTTCTACAGACTGGTTATATTTGTTTAGAATAAGTGCCAGCTCTTTTTAGAAACTTGTTATTATACCTGTAAATAAAATGGGTAGCTTAAATATTTAAAGCTTTGACAATCTTAACCTTTCGGATGTTGGTCGTATAAACCTCTGGTTAAATGCCGATTTAAATAAATTAGTACTACCACGCGGTCTTAGACCGTTAGTTGTGGGCGTGGTCTTTGATAATGTATAACGTATGTACACTCAGTACAAAAAGAAACGCAACTTTTTCATTTTTCATTTTTTTAGGTTTATACTAAATTTGGACAAACAATTTTCCCTTTAATATTCTCAATGACATTTTATTGTTAACTTGAGTACAAAACGGCATTATTTTTAACCTCCCTCAATGCAGTTTAACGGCAAACTGTACAAACCACATTTCCACGTGCACACCGTGCTCTATAGTTTACCGATAGTTTCTATGCATGTAGCCGTGTAGTGATGAATCGGTACACATGAAAAACAAGTTTATTTGAACTGTCAGTACTTTATAACCATGCCGCGCCTTGCTGAACATTTGCGGAATCAAGCAATTGGTTTACTTGAAGCTGGTGTTTCGAAGATTGACGCTGCACGGCGATTTAATTGTCATGTTAGCACTATCACTCGTCTACAGAATAGGTACAATGCCTCTGGCAGTGTCAAAGACTTACCAAAATCCGGTCGACCACGAATAACCACTAGGAGACAGGATGTGAATATTCGAGTGGGGCACCTACGTAATCGATTCGAAGCGGCGTCCTCTACAGCTAGACGAACAATAGGTACTCACGGGTAGGTGAAAATATTGCTATCTTTCCGAAATTCTTCCTCTTATCAAATTTTGAGCTGTTCACATTTTGATGAGGTTTGCCCTTTTTGAGACGTTGCGTTACTTTTCAGGCGCAGTATACACGCAAACACAGTTCGAAATCGGCTTAAGGAAGTTGGTTTGAGGTGTAGGAGACCCCTCAAGGCATCACGCCTCACTGCACGTCACAAACGGGATCGACTACGGTGGGCTAGAGTGCACATAAGAATGAACCGTAGATTCTGGAGCAGGGTACTTTTCTCTGACGAAACTAAAATAGTGCTGAGCAGAGCCGATGGTCGTGCACGTGTTTGGAGGCGCAGGAACGAGCGTTATGCCGAAGCCTGTATTCAGACTTTTAATCGTTGGGGTGGTGGCTCCATTCACATATGGGCAGGGATGTCACAGTTTGGAAGAACAGATCTTGTAATGTCAATGCTCAGACCTATGTCAATGATGTTCTAGCACCTGTTGTCGTACCGTACATGAACCGTCATTTTCAGGGACATGGGACACTTCAACAGGATAACGCTCGCCCGCACACAGCACGTTTGACTGAAAACTTTCTTGCTCGGAACCACATCAATGTGCTAGACTGGCCTGCAATGTCGCCAGATATGGCGCCTATTGAACACTTATGGACGAGCTAGAACGTTGCATTTATGAGCACAAGCCACAGCCCCAGACGGTGCAGGAACTTCGTCGTGTCGCAGTGCAGGAGTGGAATAACATTCCCCAGGCATCCATTGCTATGTAAGTGACCTCTATGCGTCGCCGCTGCCAGGCGCTTATCAATGCTAGGGGTGGACACACAAGGTATTGAAACTGAAATTTTCGTGATCGATAGCGCTGTGTTTAAACTGCTGGAACTTTCGTAATTTTGCAGGTATCAATGAAATTGTTGTGTTATTGAATAAAGCATGGATGAAATATTGAAAAGGTATTGAAGTTTTTTCTGCACCACATCCACTATGGGAGATGACCAGGTATATATACAGTTTGCGTTTCTTTTTGTACTGAGTGTATATATTTGACATTGTTGGGTAGAGCAGACTATTTTTCACTAATTATCTTGCTGGGAGGCCAAATATTTATAACATTATTTTTTTTCTACACTCACATGTGAATGATATTTTGTTGTAAAGTTGCATTTGGTAATAAGGGTTTATCGCAACATAAACTTGATGTGCGATCGGCCGTGTAAAGTGGACATCCGCTCAGTACTATAAATTCTGTGTATACCTAGCTTATAATTTATTTCTTACACAATATTAAATCTTTTCCGATTATACTCTTCGTTTTATGTATCACCTTTTTCATTCCTGCCAGCTATAAATAAAGGAATTGATGTAGTTTCTGGACATTATGCTACGACTGACCGCGTATAATTTATATGTTATCATGTGTTTAACTGTTTTCCTTGTCTTTCTATGAAGCATAACCAAAAGGATTGGCAGGTCATCGGCTCGTGAGTCTAATCCCATCAGTCATCAAAGGACGAACACATGTTGTCTTTTCTTATGAAGAAATTGGTCATTCAATCAGTAAACAATATGGCATAGTGGCATGGCATGGTTTTTGGTTGACAGTTAACAAAGAATTTCAATACGCATATGGCGTCGAGGTAATTGCATATTTGATAATCAGTTCTTCTTTTTTTCTACTCTTATTTCACATATATAACTTCACTTACGATAAGATACGATAATTGTTAATAAACTATACAGCATCGAATGCAGAACTTTTCCAAAAATAGAACTGTTCTCGCACATATATCCCCCCTTTGATTTGAATATGCAGCATGTCTCTAAAATCATGTTAATTCCTCGAAACTAATACTCTAAAAAAAAAAATACAAAGAGAACATTGAACGTAATTTACATTTTACGGGTACTTTCAGTCCACGATTATGTTTTGGGATAAAATATTTTTAAAATAATGCTTTTGCTGTGTTTTTATCACACGTTATACAAAAATATTGTTTTGCATATGTCATTTTATTCAAAATGTGTGCATAGTTATTTTTCCATATGTTGGCATTCTAAAATTTTATCGTTATCTCATCTGTAGGGCTATAAGCTTTAAGTCCTAGCCGAAATCATTGTACTGCGCGTACTTGCTTAAAGTGACGCTGTATTCCTTTTTCATTGTCAAGTCTTTTTTAAAAAGAATAACTATTTTAATAGGTTATAGGAAATGTACAACAATATCTTATTACAAATCGATTTGGTAAAATATAAAAGATATCACAATATATTATACACCATGTACTGATACAGAATGTGACTTGAATTCAATAGGATAATTGGATCAAAAACCAACACAAATTAAGTATCAAAACATGTTTCGCTTTATTCAGCTTCCTGAGTTGATACAAAAAAAAAAATGACGTAAACGTACAAAACAAACGTTTACGTTAATAGACGTCACATTTGGCGCGTAAATAACGTTATAATATTACAATAAGTAATACAATAAAACATGTGCACATGTATGTATGAACGTATTTTTTTTACATAGCATATTTAATTTTCGAGAAGAATTACATAAACTAACTTGATCAAAAGATATATATATATTTTTTCATAGAGAAACTAGGCTAGTAAATAATTACAACAGTATGAAAATAACAAGTAGTGAGTACTTATGTGAAAGTTTAGAATCCGAAAAAAATGTGCTTTAAATTTAATCACATGTAGAAAATTGTAAAAAAGGGAGATAATAATTTAGAAACATCGTTATCAATCAGTATATCTTATAAAGCTATCAAATAAAATGAAAATGATCTATCTATTATCTATTCAAAACATGGTATTATGCTCAAAATCAATTTATGTTATACGAAATAATCAAAAATCATATGAATACATTATGAATAATGTAGAATATAAATGTAACAATCAAAAATATGCGCGAATAAAGGGAGGTAATTAAATACTTATATCATCGACATAAATAATGTATTTGTATAGATTCAAATAAATTAATAACAATTTTAGATACAGTTAATGACTACTAAAATAGAACAGTCTTTTTATGCCGATATGTACTAAAAAAAAGATATTGACGAGTTTGTAAAAAGTTGCAAGTATATATATTTGAAAAACGATTTTATTATTTGTAAAGCACCTTTGCATTCAAACCCTTCCGGAAAAATGTTTCTGTCTTACGTAACCAGTATGTCTCTTTCAAAAGTCTCCCCATATTATAATGGTGTTTATCAATCGGCATAAATTCAATGTAAGAATATAAGTACACATGTATGTGTATGTTTTCCATCGTAATGTAAGTAAAAGTCTATATTACCTTAAAAATAAATCGTGATTGTAATAGGTATTTTCTGATTGGCGAATTTTATTTCATAAATATTGTGTGGCCCCTCAATACACGCTATTATGTGCATTTCGGTGCAATGAATGCTGTCCGTCAACATCATCTCATTATATACGGAGATCTCTGAGAGTTCACCTTCGCCTCGTTTTCTCTTTAGCTCTGAATATGTTATTTTCTACTGGATTTTCCATGCCATACAACTCCAATTTCCCCAGACCGTATTGTAACAGAATTTAGCATATTTAGCGCTTATTATCAATTAGTTTCAGCACCATTGCGTTGCTATGTAGCTGTCCAAGCATTTTCGCTGGGAGCTGTCTTTCATATTTATTCATTAATTATTTTCATATTTTGTTTTTCATTGACATTTTTTGCACCAAATGCTTAATAAAGTCACGGCTTATCCCATTCAACTTATGTTTGTTATTTCTTTTTCTGCAATGGCAAATTACAATGTTGTTAAACTGTTAAATAAACCTCTTCATTTTTTAAAGGCCGTTATGTGTAAAGAGGTTCTACTTATCATAGTAAACATGTTTCTACTAAACATAGTTAACACAAAATAGAAGATTCTTGGTTCTACTTTTGTCGTTAAAATGGTGTGGTTTCACACATCATGTTGCTAATTGATGACATATCGTAATGTCCCTATTTACCTTTAAGAGTATTTATGTGTGAGGCATTTTTTCCGGCTGATATCGAACCTCAATTATTTTTATAAATAAAACCCGCATAGAAATTAAGTAGGTTTATTTTTCTTTATTAAATAAAGCGTTTTAATTTAGCGGGTTATTAATGCATGACCGTATCAACACTTCGTCTAAGCGTGTATATAAAACAGGTTTAGAAGTTTACACCGTTATCTCTGTCACGTGAATTCCGTGCGTAGAATCCTACAGCTTTAGTAAATCACTTCTAGCTTAAATTTCAACGTGGTAACATCGTTCATTAAAAACCCACCACCCTACCCTTAATTTGCTGATATGTATATACAATTTTTGTTTGTACGCTTTTACTGCTGTCAAGACTTTATTTTCAGCTGTGAGGCCGGACTCATTCCACTGTTAAACCATGCTGCCTGCCATGCCATGCTGCTTGCCCAACTAAAGAGTACAACAATAAGGAGACCATCCGTAATAAACTTGGACATAGGGTTTACTTTCATCACTGTTGATGTTTCATAGCTTTGGAACAAAAGCCTGTCTGCAGTAGACATTTAACTTATAAACAGTGTTAAAAACTTGTAATTTTTAACAGAGTTAAAAAGTCGTAACTAATAATTGTGCAAATGCGTAAAGTTAAAAAATACTCCAATAGACATTTAAATATTTCAAAACATGCGTAAATGTAAAATTTGTATCAATTTGCAAGGATGCGATCCGACATCCGGTGGTATGACATTGACAAACGGATGCAGGTTTCCTATTTTTCCCAATGGGTTTTGGTTTTCCTGAGCGAGTCGACCACAGTTTGCGATTGATTAATTGCGCATGTTTTAGACTTTTTATTGGGCACACAATTGTCCTTTGTCGAAATTTTAACCTAGAGATAAATCAATTGTATCAGTTTCGAGATGAAAACTTGTATGTTATAAGACTATTTCCTTTTTTTTGTGTGTGTGTTTTAATTGACATGTTAACCACCCCCCCCCCCTGTTCTAATCGCCCGTCGTGACTTTAGCTCTTTCATTTTATTGAACTTAATTTTGAAAGTCATCATATTTCACTCGTCAAAGATTTTACTTCTAATGCAATTTTATTTTTTTTGAGTGAGCACCGGGTTTTGTTTTATAAATGATTATACACTTTTTTTATTTTAACAGCCCGAGGCTCCCAAAATTAATCACAAAAAAAAAAAAACAACAAAAAACCCATCCTCAGAAAAAAGAAAAGAAAAAAAAAAAAAGAAAAAAAAGGAAAAAAAAAAAAAAAACAGAAAAAAAAAAGAAAAAAAAAGGAAAAAAAAAAAATTGTATTTTTTTCTTCTAGGTTGGCCTCTCGTATCTGCAACCTCGCGTTCGGTTGGTCATCTCTTATCATTGGTGTTATTGGGCGGGCGCCCTTTAACCGTTAGAGGGGGCCTAGACCTAAAGGTCGGCCGTTCACCATGTCCTTGAATTGACTGTGTCTTATATGAACAGGGTTAAAATTCAGCTTTTCGGCCAAACGGCTATTAATGGTCTGTCGATAGCTGCAAAAATAGTATGTACGTGTGGGTCCGTACATATTCAAAAGAAATAGATGGTTTTGCTACAAACCTCTAACAAAATGGGTATGTTGAAACAGACATGTTAGCCCCCCTGTTCGAATCTTTGTCTGCCGCTTAGCTCAGTCAATTTTTTGGATGGTTATTTATAACATAGTAGCTTAGTTGCTTCGTCCAACCCTGCATTGTCGCTCTCCATATATTCGGTTTTCCATCTATTTATATACATTGTAAACAAACATATTTATATGTTTTATCATTAAAAAAAAGAGCTTAAATAGGCGTCCTAGTAGGTGACTTTCTAAACTTTCATCATTTTTTCTGAAATTTGTAATGGTGTGTGTCTTAAATAATTAACGTATGTAATACATAATTGCCCTCAATACACGCTATTATGTGCATTTCGGTGCAATGAATGCTGTCCGTCAACATCATCTCATTATATATACGGAGATCTCTGAGAGTTCACCTTCGCCTCGTTTTCTCTTT